GCTCAACAAAAAAACAAATTAAAGGTAAAGATTCACTCTTTCGAAAGCTGTAAACTGCATTGGCATGCGATTTTTAATTCGCGCCATGGAACTTGTCAAAGTTCGTAAAAAATTTTGAGATTCGTCGGGTCTTCTTTTCTATCCGTGTAATTCCATGAAAAATCAGTAGGATCGTTTTCTAAAGTACCGATTTGAAAAGTAGAGATTTCAAGCTGCAGTAAAATGCTTTTTTGAACATCTCGATACGATCATTTTTGACGAAGTTACACTCTCTTGAATTTTGCCTATTTTTGGAAGGTAGAGTAAGTGATGCTTAATTAATTTTGTTGAGAAGTGTATAAATAAATACATTTTTCATTATGTATCGCGCGTAACTATATATGTACTAATAATAGGTTATCATTAATTTTATTTTATGATTTAAATTGAAATTCTTTATTTATTCGTAAATATTATTTTTATTATTCACCCCGATAACGGCCGGATAGGCTCGTAGGCAAAATAAATAATAAATAAATTTAAATAAATTTTATATTTATTTATTAATTATTAAATTTATATTTTAAATTTATTTATACGTAAATTTTTGAATTATTTGGGGCCATATTATATGTATATATTTTCTGTATTATTTATTAAGTCAGTTAGTCACGAAGTTAGTTTCGTGTATTGATATTTATAAACGGGACCATCGGATGTGCCAAGCCTGAACGCACGAATTTCAACTGCTAATATTGCAGGTTAACTTAAATCGTTTATAACTGAAAAGAATTATAGCCTTGAAAAGTATTATAACCTCGACATTTTTGTATTTGGACTTTCGACTCTGCAAAATTATCTTAGAAGCACGTTCTTAAAAGCAAATGCGGTAAAGGTACGTGGAACATCCTGTATATACAATAATATACTCGTATAAAAATCTATGACACATATATATTATGTTATTTTACTGGCCCATGTTTTCGAATACCTTCCTTTTTTTTTTTTCTTTCTTTCTCACCCAAAAATATCTATATCTCTCTGTTCTCGAACACTGCAATGATAAGGACATATAGAAATGTATCGATTGAGTTACAAGTATATGTAACTTATTGTAATACTCGCGGAGTGCACAGCTAGGTCGCGTCTAGATGGTGTAAATATTCATGGCTGTTGGTTGAAAAATTCAAACTGCGCCAGCCCTCCCCCCCCCCCCATTAAGTAGTACTTCCGATGTTGCGCAAGTTTAATTGTGCTGATGCAATTATTTAACCTTTAACCCTCCTACGCGGGTTATTAGATTCTGACATTCTTTGAAAATATAAAGCTTATAATTAAATTATACAAACTATGAACAGCACAAAAACAGGAAAAAAGATCTGAGAAATAATGAAGAAGCAAAACGCAATTAACGCTGCAAATTTAATCGCACGGTTATATTCCAAAGATTTGTTTATTAAAACAAGTAATTTTTTATTTTATATATATATGTATATATATATATATATATATATATATAGGCTAATTTTCATGTATATATTAAAAATATAATTTACTTTTGATTTTGTATATATATATATATACATACTGCAAACCAAGGAAATGATACAAAATTTATTAGCTATATAATAATTAATGAATCTTATAGAAAGGCGACAAATTGATTGGTTAATATGCATATATATGTTGCTGCGCAGTAACAGCTATTATATTGTTCTTGTAAATAAATATTTCAGTAAACGGAAATGGATTAAAATTTTTTTTTTTAATTGAAATGGATTGGTCTTTATAGAAATGCATTTATTTTTCCACAAAGTTTAATTTATTTCAAAATCATTCTAATCCATGATTTGAAATTTCAATTCATTTCCGTTTAGTGGGATATTTCAATAACTGCAGTTTTGTATAATATAGCTGCATATATATACATATATCGAATGAATCCATAGCTCTAATAATTTCGTTAATTATTCTTCTGGCATTGTTTTTTATATAGTTCTATTATTCTCATTTCTATTATTTTCATGATTATATTTTTATAATTTTCACTGTTTTATCCTCTCTCTCTGGATAATTGGATACGGATGGTAACATTTAATTGGTAACTATATAAAAATGCAGTTTTAAATCAAATTAACTAGTAGCAAGGATATCTAATACAGATGAAATACAATGTATGTAGTTATATACATATGTCTAAAAAACAATGGTCTAATAATAAATCATAAAATTAATATTATATGTTATTGATCAATTGCTTAAATTTAAGCAATTACTAAATTATAGCAACGTTAACTCCCGTAAGAGTCGGTCTTTATATAATCGTGTCTCGTCGGTGATTTTTCTTTTAATACTTATACTGTGAAATATATATTTCTTATATTACCATTATCTCATTGGGCGCGAGCGTAGCGTAACAAACAGCGCATTGGCCTGTTAGGGGCTGTCTACAATACGTCGTATGTCAGATCGTAAGCCGTAAATCGTAAGAATTGACCAATCACAGTTGAATGTAAGAAAAATATTCGACTATGATTGGTTAATTCTTAGTTAGTATGATATGAGTAGTGACTAACAGCTTATTGTAGAAAGCCCCTAAAAGCCGGTTCTACATTAGTTGCAAGCCGATCGCAAGCTTGTTTTGCGACAGCCAATCTGAAGCTTGTATTTTGAAATCAA